GATCGCCTCGCCGAAGTGGCCCAGCCTCAGATGCCGATTGGCTCGCGAGATTCGAAGAGCTGACACCCGTTTCGTGACAGGTGAACCTTGCCCCCGAACGGACTGCCGGGCTCCCAATGAAAGCCGAGGTCACATGACTGGTCTTTAGGAGGCTGCCATCTTGATGCTGCTGGTTGCCAACTAGTGAGTTCTTGGAAGGCAGAGCCCGGAAGTACTGCGGCGGTTTCTGGAAACTGGTCTTCTACCAGGAATGCACCAGTAGATGGGATGTTGCTGGAAATGGAGGGTTCTGAATGGCGCTCTCTGGGAAGGAGCTTATCTTTTCCACCCAGGTTACTGGCACCACCATCCACCAGGTCTCCCCAAACCAGAAAGCAGGGAGGAATCCTCACTCCAGTACTAGTCATGAGCCCTGTATGTGCTGTCTTCCTGCACAGGCATACTTTCCAAGCATTCTGCTCATGCCCCAGTTTCATTTCTTCTTTTGCTTGGACTGTTTGCTGCAGCCGCTTAATGGGTCAGCTTCCAGCGGGTCACCACTCCAATCCACACTGGCCAGGTTAACTCTCAAAACTCCTTACTGAGGCCTTGGAGACCTCCAGATCAGGCTACTTCGTGAATGTTGTTTCCACACTCTTCATTCCAGTGGGTGTATCTGCACCCAGGTCTGTGCCTCTGTACATGCAGTCCTTCAGCCAGACCACTGCAAACACCATCATCACCTCCTCTGTGAAGCCTTCCACTAACTGGCCTCCCCTCCTCTCCCATGACAAGCGGGCCTACCTCCACTGTGCACTTAATCATTTTGTGCTTCCTTTCCTAACTAGAGCTTGTGAGAGCTTGGAGATGAGAGGCTGGATTCTATCTACATTTGCCTCTCCACCGTGGAGCAATATGCCTAGCACATAGTAAGTATCCAAATAAATGTTGACCAAAGGATATATAGACTGGTGATCTGGGTGCCACCCTTCATCTACAGCGCTTTCCCAGACCATCCTTCAGACCCCAGAGGAATTCCACCTCATCATTGCACTCTGAGATACCAATGAGACCTAGCCCTGGAAAGCAGGGTTGCCATAGTTTAGTGGTGATCCTACACATTTATTAAAAAGGAAGGAACAGCAGTGCTAAGTTTGCAAGAGGGATAGTTGCAGCCAGACCAAGCTATGGTTTGAGAGCCAGATTCACATGAGCCCAACCAAATAGTTATTCAAACAACCTGGAGAGGATGTACATGACTTGGTAGAGGGATTTGAACAAGAGGAGATTCCTACTAGCAAACCAAAAGTCAAAAGCTTCACAGTATACCCCACTCTTCCCCTCACCCTCATTTTTTCACACAAATCCTTACCTCAGGAACAGGAGAACTTGGAGCAGAGTCACAGTTGCTTAAAATTTCACTGAAAATTACTTCATCAGCCATCTCAGCTTCAGTGGTCTGGGAGAACTAAGTTGAGCACCGCAGACAAGCTCTAAAAGATTGTGAGTTTGCTGGAAGAAAAATCTTTTCTACTGATTTTAACCAAATCAAGACTTGGATGTTTATTGATACCTAATTTAAACTAAGAAAGCCAGTTAAGGGAAATGTGATTTTTAAAATAATGCCTTTGAACCACAGTTTTGTTGAGCACTTGATTTTGTAACAGGCAGCATCCTAGATTCCTTGTTATGTTATCTCATTGAACTCTCATAACATTATGAAGCAAATAGTCCCCAAACCATAACCTTGTTTAGGGATGAGGAAAGAATAAAGTAACTCCCCCAAGTCATAACTAATTAGAAGTGAGCAGGGAATCCAAAACCAGATTTCAAAGCTCAGATCAAAATTTCTGTAAGGTCAGTTTTAATACACAAAGCTAACATTACGTACAATGCTGAAGCTGGAAAAAGACTAAATTCCAATGAGAGATAAATGTTTAGGCAAACTATAATTACATCACAAGATTATTATGCACCTATTTTTATTTTTTTTTTTTTTGGAAACAAAAGGAAAGAAGAAAGAACAAGAAAAGAAAAGGGGGTAGGTGAAGCAAATGTGGCAATATTTTGATAACTTAAAATCTGGGTGGTAGGTACAAGGGTGGGTCGCCGTATGCCCTACTTTGTGTATGCTTGAAATTTCCATAGCAAAAATATTTTTTGTTTTAAAATGCTACCAGCCTATAGAGAAATACAGATCTCATTCTACTCATCTTGCCTAAAGCATGGCGAGCCCTTTCAACTTGCATATGCCCGAAACGGGGCACGAACCCGCGTCTCCTGCACCGGCAGGCGGACTCTCAAGCACTGCGCCACCAGGGAAGCCCTATTTTTATTTTTTTATGCGCCTATTTTTTTTACAAAAAGGTTTACACGTAGTGTGTGATAACTTATAAAAATAATTTTTGTTAGGCCAAAGAAGTAGGATGTAAAATTGTATATAAAGTATGATTAAAATTATGTATATCTGATTTTTTAAAAAAACAACTTGGGCATTGGAGAAAAAAAGGAATAAGAACCAGTACAATCTGTTCCTTGGCAATATGCAACAAAAGTTTTTAAAATGTTGAGATTCTTAACACAGTAATTGTATTTCTTATAATCTGTTCTAAAGAAATAATCTAAAACCTAGGTAAACATCTGAGAATAAAGATGTTCATCAAAGTGAAAAAAAATGTAAACAACTTGATTGTCCAAGTGGGCACTTTTCAGGAAAATGGTTATACACACATATATGTAATTTTATATAGTCATTATGTCTTCAAAACATTTTTAATGACAAGGACAATGCTTGCAATATAATGGTAAGCAGAATTGCAGTGTACAAAATTGTATATACAAAAAAAAATTGTATATACAGTATGATCATAAAATATAAGCACAGACAACTGACGGAAAAGAAATATACCAAAATGTTAATAGTGATTCTCTCTGGGTAGTAGGCTTATTATGATTGATCTTCTTTATAATTTTCTATGTTCTATGATTTTTCCCACAACATCGTATATTATTTTTATTTAAAATTTAAAAAAAACACTCCAGCTTCCAAACTTACCCTAATAAGCATGATTACTTTTACAAACACATTTTAAAAAGATATTTGAATGGTGATCTGTAATATAGTTCCCTATTAGACTGAAAGTGTAAAAGGCAGGGACACCTTCTTAATTATATTTGTATTGCCATTGGCTATCACTGTGTGCTCAATAAATGTTAACTGAATGATTGATCTTCTGTAATAAATTTATATCCTGCCTGTTGTTGATGCATAGAGAACATCAAAGAGAGAAGTTTTCCTCTGAGAATGAATTTCTTTTTAAATTGGTATGTAATGATGTAAGATTCACCCATTATAAGTATACTTTTCCTTCAGTAATAACCTATCAATAGAGGGCCATGGAGTTTCGGAAAAACTGAAACTCAGTGATGTTTTGCCCTAGAAGGAAAAGTGTGTTAACAAAAGTGAATGATCTGTTGAGTTGAGAAAAGGAGAATTAAATCAGTAAAAATGGATGAGGGCATGTCCAGTTCTGTCCAGAAGGGAAAAGTTTTCTCACTAAACATATAAATACTTGGCTTCCTAGTAGTTTCATCCCCATTTTTAACTCCTGCTTTGAAAATTTTACCTTTACTGGCTGCAATAATTCCCTCTAGTCTAGAAGTACATTGTTTAATATGGTAGCCACTCGTCACACGTGGCTACTGAGCACTTGAAATGTGAATGGTGCTCTGAATTGAGATGCACTGGAAGTGTCAGATATACACTGAATTTCAAAGACTCAGGATGAGAAAGATACTTATGTAAAATAACTTAATAATTGTTCAGTATTAATTACAGATTGAAATTATAGTAGTCTTTATATACTGCGTTTAAAAAAATACTATTAAAACTAGTTTTACCTGTTTCTTTTTGGTTTTTTTAATGAGGCTACTAAAAAACGTAAAACTACATATGTGGCTTGCATTATATATATATATATTTTTTTGACTTTTTAAAAATTTTGATTGGAGTATAGTTGCTTTACATGACTTGCACTATATTTCTATTGGACAATGTTGACACAGAACCTTGGAGCCTTGATCATTTACTTACCTCTGTTTTGGAGCCAACTCCAATTACTTTCTAATGCAAAGTCTGGCCTGACCTACCTTAACCCCCTAGGTCCAACCTTGCATGGAAGTGGGGTGGCTATTTAAGTGAGAAGGAGCCTCTCTTGGGCTGCTTAATTTCCATTCTGCTTGGTTAACTTTTAGAAGACTTTGTACCTGAAAAACTTCTTTTTTATATGTTCCTTATAAAAAAAAACCTAAAATACTGATAGCAAAAAGAAAAAATAAAATCACCCATAAAATCCACCACCCAGAGATAATCACTAATGATATTTTGGCATATACCCTTCCTGAAACTTTCAATACACAAATACATATAGAGGTATATATATGTGTGTGTATATACATATTTTTTTTAGCAAAATGGGATCATACCATATATTCTGTTTTCTAATCTATTTTTTTTTTACCTAATAAGATAACAGAAATATTTTTCCATGTCAATAAAAATATTTTTCCAATTTCATTTTTCATGACTTTACTCAGAAGTTACCTTA